AACGGTTTCGAGCTTTGGCGAGAGATATATCAGACATGCACAGCTGTTTCCCTCTATGATGGAACGGAGCCACGTCTGTTGCAGAGAGGTTTTCCTTCTTACAATACATATTCTTTGATTCTAACCTTCATGGTACCGTATGCTAGGATTAAACCCATTTTGTTTTATACGAGAACAGGTACTTTCTTTAGTTCATGCACTGCACATGTGATTCTCGAGAATACTGGAAACCAAAAGTTGCGGGAAAGTTGCTTTGCCTTTCTAAAAGACAATCAAATTGGAGCTGCGAAAATTGGCTCTATGCCAGCTACCCGAATGACACTCACATGATACATAATTCGCCAAAAAAGTTCTCTCTTCCGACGTCGGCGCAAAAATCGCTTTTTTTTTTTGGTGGGATCGTTGTATGAACTTCCCTGACTTTTCCAGATTTTGACAAAAATACTTAAATTCCCTGACTTTTCCCGATTTTCCAGGTAGCGTAGTGTATTGATCCACACTGGTAATAATATTAATTATATGGTAAACCTAAATTATTATTTTTATGTAGAATCCTGGAAAAGTAACAGCTTTTTTTTAAAACAATATTCCTTTCTCGAAGAGTGCAAGCATAAGCCATTTCTATTTTGAGCCAGTCCTGCTTTCTAGTCCTTCATGAAGGCATTCTTCATCAAACAACCCTTATATACTTTACCAAATTCAAGTAAGACTTTATCAGAAAGGAATTTCTCTACAGCATTCCCTGTCTCCTTTCGCTTCACAAGCTTTTTACATTATTGCACTCACCAAGAACATTCGAATTCGTTCTTCCAATTTCAGTATATTTCTGCTATAAAAACCATTCAACATTATAAACAGAGGAAGAAGGGAAGAAAGAGCTTGGTTTCTGTTTAAAAAAAAAAAGTGCTTAATTGCATTTTGCATTGTAATTTCAAATTTGTATATCACAGAAACAAATTTTCCTGGATATACAGCAAGAGAAATAAGAGGTCTTATTTATATTTATGCTCAATCACAATGGGAAAAATGGGAAATTTTCATTAATTTACTTCAAATATTTCTTTCTGTAAAAACCTGTTTCATTACTGATATAACAATGTCAATAAGAAATTGCGATTCTGCAAAAATCTAGCTGTGGCTCCTACTGTCTTACGTTTGGCCGCCCTCGATATATAATATACATATGTTTTGGAGCTCGTTTATTGCTTAGATAAAATCATGACTCATTAATGTTAGTGGACATTAACAAAGCAGAGACTCGTAGGTGGGCTAAATTTAAATATTTCTTTTATTGTATTTAAACATTTTGCCACCACAAACATCCTAGCATACTATTTGTGCGTATTACAGAACATAGCACATGCATTTTTGAAAATGTTGCAATACAAAGAAAGCAGTGCAACAGTTTAGCTAGGGCGAGGCGCAGAAGCAAAGGACAAAATCTCAATTCAGAGTGGGTTAGTTTGTTTTTATACATTTTGATAATTAACTGTTTGAGCACTGAAGAATTTTCTTGTATATATGCTAAAAATGCAGTTATTTAATAGAAATGAAAGTAATAGAAATGATTATAATTAACTCTAATTATTATATAAAAAAGTAATTTTTACCAATAAAAATATTTTTTATTCTCACTCATTACAAGTGTTTTGCTGCACAACTTTTATAAATTACTTTTTTACATATTGTTCAAATTTAAATGGGTCATTTAATTCTATTACCCCCCTTTTTTTATAACTGTGCACCTCACTGTTGCTGCCTTGGTAATTTTTCTAAAGAAAACTTTTTACTTATTGATAGTCTTCCTGTGGTATTTTTGGTTGCTAATCATTCCTTCCTTCCCTGTAGCATCAATAAAATTCGAAATAAATTATAATCTATTTAAATTTATGCCCAGACAATTTATGGAATCTATAAGCTTTTAGCACCATTCTGATAAAAATCTTAAAAATAACTTTTTTTCCTGTATTTCAGAGTTAATCTTTTATCGAGATACGAACATAACATTTTGTCAGGTTCATATCAACTACATTCATAAACTTGTTATCCTCTTAGGCATGGCTGAATTTTGTGTGGGTCTGTTTCTTAGTACAGTAGACTTCACGGCAAATTATGTGCAAACAATACAGTGTATAAAAAGCAACAATTCATACCTGACACTGGCATATCCAAAACAAAAACAGGATATTCTGTGTGTATACTGTTAGCAATGTTACAACACATTGTAAAGAAAAGAGAGTGAAATACAACATATGAAAATGATCACTGATAGTAAGTAACACACCATGTCTAAGACATTAATACTCATCTTATTAAAAATCACTATTGAATGATATTATTAAAGATGCAATTGATATAAATACAACTGCTCTCAATTAATGTGAAAGTTGTAGAAACAAATAGCAGCACCATCTCTTTTCTATGCATTTTTGGCATAACACAAGAGAAGCGTGATAGCACTTCATCACAATCAAAAGGTTAACCCTCTGGCTGATCATCCCGCAATTTCCGAGGGCATGTTTTTCTTTCTTTACTGAGGAGCACATCACGTTTTTTCCCCGCTTAACCATTGAAATAAATTATTATACAGTATTAGGCATTTAGTTTATGTTTTCGCCAACATATATCGTTAGTAGTGCCACTTTTTTCTTACAGAAATGGCTGCTAGAAAATGTTCAGCAATTATCTTGATTATTTAATTAAATTGAATTATTAATTAGATTTATTGAATCTGGTGCAAAGACTGTGAAGTTGGACTTTGCCTTGAACCCTGTTTTGAACTCTATCATACTAAACTGCATTTCTAAGGTATTTTTCCCTCAGCGCTTTATATTTTCTTAAATTTTATACATTTTACTTTTTTATATTATACAATAAATAGAAATTAATTGTAATTCGACTGAAATTTATTTAAAAAAAAAGATTTTTTTTGGTGATAACATCTGAAATTGGTTTTCTGGCAACTTAGTTTCTCATGATAAAAATCTATATAAAAAATATTTTCTAGGGTGAAAAAGTGCTTTTTTCAATTCTCCAATATATATAGATTTAAAATATGGGGGGGGGGACCGCAGTTTTGGAAGCAATTTACGCAAATTGAGCAGTCAGTCAGAGTGTAATAATGCTCTATAATCATTACTGGCTAATTTAAGTTAAATTTTTTATTTATATATTTTTTCTTTTTTGAATATATATGCATATAAAGATAAAATACTAAATATAATTAATAACAGCTCCTTAAGGCATCTTTTAAATTCAGTTATTCCCTCTCTCCAACCTAAAACTAATAACTGCTTATAATAAATGTCTCAACTGCTAATTTAAAAATTCATCTTTCTCGTATGATATTTATATTTCAAATAGTAATATTAATTTTTGTGAACTGAAAACTTAATGAACCAACGTTTTGGCTGCTTTGGAAGCTTACTGTCCACTGCTACACTTTCTCTTAATTATTAAAAATGTAAAAGTGATGCAACTAACACTTCATAATCATGTTCTCTGTTCTTATCAATGATATTTAAATTATTCCAGATATTACATATATATAGCAAAGCCTAAAATCTGGATACCCAATAACTGAAATTATATATTTTCTGAACCTCCTAAAAACTCTTTTTTTTTTTTTTTTTAAGAAATTTTCTTTTACTCACATTTAGAAAAATAATTTGGTACTCAAAACTATGCCATAAATAAACTTTTCTTCCAATTAACTAAAATTACTTTTAAAAAGAAACATCGTCACCTGCAGATTAGGAAACTGCATTTTCGGCTTTTCAGTATTTGAGAAAGGACATCAATTTTGTGTCTCATCTAACCCTGTGCACAGTAAGAAAAGACCCAAATTTATTTAGACTGGAATGTCACATATTACTGGCTTTCTTTCATTGTCATAGCAAGGAAGATGGTGGAAAGAATTAAGATTTCAATGAACAGACAGATCTCAAAATTACAAACATTACCTTTGCTCAGGTAGCATTACTAATTGTGCTTTTACTGACTGGATCTAGCTTATTTTGTTCACTCTATTATTATTACTGTTTCTAATAAAAATTAAAGTTTTAACAAAAGATAATACCTGTATTTATTCTTTCCTTAAAACTGTGCATCCATCAGTCAGTCAAAGGAAAATGGAATTTTACATATGCCAAAATGCAGATATAAAGCCATCTTTTTAAAATCAATGCAAAAATATAAAAAAACTGTTGAAATATTTTAATAAAAACTTCTGTCGAAAGCAGTACAAGCTCATGAGAAGATAAGTCTGTATTTCTAAAAATGCTTGATATAATTTATAACCAGCTGCCATATTTCATGATGATAGCCACAAATTCAAAGATTTTCAGATACTGTATGTAAAAACTGTAATTTTTGGATGAATGAAATGAGTGATAAATGCAAAATGAAGATTATCTAAATGAAGTCTTCCAATGTGATCAAACGTTCAACTAACAAAATGGCAAAATATGCAATATGGCTTTAAATCCAGAAAACATTGCTATTTTGGCTTCAAGACGCATTTTTCTTTCATATGATAGTTATTCAAATACCTCTTTTTTTAAGAAAGAGGAAATTTCAGTCCAAGTCATGACAATCCATTTTAGAGGAGATGGGGATAAAAAGCATGATTTATCAGGAAAAGAAGCCAAATCAAACTGGTGATGCCTAGTGCAGCAAAAATCATGTAAATGAAATTTTCATTGTGATGTCAATATACTAAGGATCAATCAATGAATTTCAAAACCTGCAGTATAGTTTTAAATCCAAAAAATACTGTCACTCACAAGTTTAAGAATGTGATGAAGAGGTTATTGAAAATTAACATTGAATAAAAGAAGTTTTGTTTTTTAATACTTTGAACAGCATTCAAGATAGCTAAATATTTAAATTACATGTATTACTTATAACACATAAAATAGTAAAAAAAATATACATTTTTTAATTTAAAAATTTCATTGAATACTTCTCTGTTATTTTACTTAAAATGTAAAAATACTAACCAATTTCCTAAAGTACTCTTCTTCTCGTGCAGCTTCCATTTTGCCAAAACTGCCACCAGCTTCTCTAAATATTAAAAAAAGCACCTTCTTAAAAAATTTATTTTAACAGACACTATATTATTTTGAAGCTCTTTTTTCCCCTCAATATTAGTTACAGGTTTTTAATTTGAATCTAATTTAGACATGGTTAGATTATTTAAAAAAAAAGTTGATTTGCCAAAAAAAAGGCAGTCTTTTGAGGAGAAATTTGATTTGCATTTAACATAAATCATATTATTACAATAACTTCATATCAGCATGCAGTGAAATTACATACCCAAATCAGCAAATGTTTCAATAATTTTTCTAATAGTTTTTACCTTTTCACACTCTTGTTTATATGGTAGTTAACATGGGTTTTTAATATCCTGCTGATTTTTAAAAATTACATTTTCCAAACCCAGTGCATTTACTGGCACAAAAATTGTAAACTGATATCATATTAAATAAGCTTTGACACAGGTATTGCTATTTTCATATAAGAATAAAAATTAAGAGAAACCTTTAAAAAATTCATATGTACAGATAAAAGTATTTTGATTGTAATGTTTTAGATTATTAGTTTGAAAGATAAATGCATTCCAGCATGCTTGTTAATTAATTTTAAAATATGCATGCAGTACAATCAAAGTGCCTATGAAATTACACAACTAGAAATTATCAGAATTTAAATCAAGAATCAAACTCACCTTACAGAACCACCAGCTCCTCCACCCTGAAAAATAAGTTAGTTTTAAAGGGACTGATAAAATGTTTCAGAATTATAGAACTTGCACAGCACAACACAACATTTGGTACTTTGTGAGTATCTGCCCAACCCTGAAAAGAATTCACCAGGCAACCCATGATGTTGCCAAAATGTTATATGGTAACCTAGGTATGTGATACGCAACAGTCATTAGTGTTTGTTTTTGTTACATTGAGTACATTAATGTCTTTGTTACGTTGAGTACTTCAAAGAAATTATTTCATCCTGCAAACTTATAATTTATGTTGACCCAGACTTTTAATATCCTTAATAACTAAGTACATGCTAAAATGTGCCACAACTTGATTCCATATGTTAATAGTCACATTTTTTCACTAATTAAAAAAAAAACCATGCACATATTAAAAATGCGTTTTATTATGAATTTTTTTTTGAATTTTGAATTTTATTGATTTATTGCTCTTTTATGGAATTCTTAGTGTGTTGCCATTTTCAAACTGCTTTTTGTGCATTAGCTTGGTAAAAATTATTCAGCAACAAGTTGATGACTTTTCAGAGGCGAATGCAGATAATCAGTAATCATAAACAAAATACCAAACACTAGTCAGATTCATCATCAAATTAGATGGTGAAGATCTGCATTTATCTGCAGCATGTGCACGCATGCTTGGGTTGCCTATTAGAGTGATATAGTATAATTCTTCATAAATAACTTTTGAGAGTATGGGTAATCAAAAAGAATTAAATTTTTTTATAAAATTTTTAGAAGTCTTGCATACAGCAAAAATAGCATTTACTTTAAAAAAAAAATCATCTGCAACTGTTGAAGTCAATGAAACAATAGAAATAAACTACAACAAAATAAGCATTCCAGCATGCTTATTAATTAGCCACAGCTTTACAACATGACAATCTAAGTTCACAGGAGGCTTTCAAAGTTCTTTTACTAACAGCAATACACATTTTACAAGACTTGTATATGGTTTGATAAATGCCAGAAAATGTGCAAGACAGTAGAAATGTATGAAAAAAAATGCAAAGACTATATGGAAATGCTACATCTGCATAATGTTAGCTCAAATTTTGCACTAATATCCGAATTAAATTCAACAGATCTCAAAGTTTATTTTTTTTAACTCCATGATGATTTTATCAATTTTATTCATTACTTAACTCTTATCATTAACTTTCTTGAAATTCCTTGTTGATGAATTTATATATATTAAAAAAAAAAAAAAAAAATGTAAGCAAAAAGACACAGAAAAACTTGAAAATTTAGAGTTATAGCCGAGGTTGTTTACTGAATGGTAGCAACATGTGTACTGTCATTTACTGGTAGTCATATTGTTTCAAAAGATGTAAACCAGCTTAGTGCACACAGCTGTGACTCATCGAATTTGAGTTATATTTCTGATAAATATCATATACCCCCAAAAAATTTTGCACCCAAATAGAATGTATTTTATTAATATTTAAGCCAACATATACCAAGGTACCACTTTAAATATAACAGACAACAAATCTCACTGTGAAAAATGTATCCTGTTTCCAATAAATAAGAACAGCATTTATAAATAAAGATTTCATAGTTATTTCCAATTTACTAAAAATTGTCAATATATAATCAAAATACTTTTCACATCTAAGTTAGATATAAATTTTTTAAATATGTAAATACTTTTCCAGCACCGCTACCCCATTCTCCAGCTTGTGAGCCATTGGATCGAAATGATCTAAAACGGAAAAGTAATCATAAATTAGTGAAATAAATAAACAGGATATTTGGAACAGCTTTTTAATACAGATAATAAGTTACAAAATTTGCAAAAACAGCTTTTATAAGATGGAAATTGAAAATATTTTATATTAAAAATATAAAATTTCAATAATTTTCTCCTAAGCAGAAGGTATTCTTGATTGGTATAAGTTCATTGGAATCTGGGATCAAATTCACTAAAAAAATTATGTAATATTTACTTATATGCATCTAATTAATATACTTAAAGTACCAAAATGCACATCGAATTGATCCAAATTAATTATCAAAAATATACCTTAATTATGAAAACTGCTTTTGAAATAGATTATCCATACAAAGTAAGTGTTTTAAACTGTTATTTCTACAGTATGTATTACTATATTTGGATTTTTCAATTCACTGCACTTGTTTGCTAAAATATTACTTTATTGGAAGCAGAATAGTTACTGGATGCTCCTAACTCTGGCCTACCTATCTTTAAGTCAAAATATATTCAGCTTCTTTCAAAGAGGACCAAAATATGTTCAGTGTCTTTTCTGAATCGCTAATTTCATTACTTCTCAGCAAGGTGTAATTTATTACATGATGCAACAATATTTAAATGACTTGTCACATTCTGTGTTGACACACCTAAACTGTTCATTTCGATTTTTTTCATCTCTGTCTACCCAGCTGATAACTATAACAAACCAAAGTTTTAAGTGCTACCATAAAAGTTTATTTCTATTCTTCATTCATCACAGACAGTCATCTTTATTTCAAAGTTCAGTGCACACATATAATTTCTTCCTTTCTAGTTTTGTATGTCTTAAGTGATCAACACTCAAATATTTCAGAAACCTTGAATAAAAATGAATGCAAAACAATAAGAAAGAGTGATTAAAAGTTATTAAAGATGTTCCTGGTAATCTATCCCAACAGGAGATGGAAGAAAAATATGACAGATGATTGATAATATGACAACTGAATTATTTATGGCTTAATGAATTTCAAACTGTTTTAAAAATGGAATGGATTAACCGAAAGTGAATATCAAGTATGCAGACTACATTGGGTTAATGCTGTAACAACCAGAGAAGAATTATAAAATTACTAAAAAAATGTGCAAGTTTTCTTTCTTTAAGGTGCATTTATACATACTACACTACAAAATCCAAGATTTGGAATAGCTGGGACTTCAGCGATTCTGGATTTTAGATTGCTAGTTTAAAGTACAATGATGTGTAAAGAACGGAACATTGCAGCTTCACTTATTGTTTAGGTCAGATAACGAAATTCACATATTTAGGTCAGATAACACATATTTAGACTACCACGAAGTAGCAAAAATCAGGGATTATAAAGTTTTAGAATTTAGAATCCTCACAAATTGCATTGGATGGCAAAATGCATAGTGCAGGCTTTGCTCCTCCTCACAGCCATTTAAGAGCCATGAATGTGACCCTGGGAAATATCAATACATTGTTATTAGTGCAACTAACCTAGCCAACAGGTGTTTGAAAGTGATATGCAGAAATAAGTCAGCTGAAAAAGCATATTTAAGGTATACTTGCTTCCTTTTGTTGAATATTATATTCTTAATTCCCAGACATTCTTTTTTTTTGGTGGGGGAGTCAGGATATTGGATGTTCAGCTATTAGATTTTGTATTTTATTTACTCTCAGTATTATATCTAAATTATGAAAAATAAATATACAATAAATATTTCTAGTTTTATTTCCTTATCTTAATCAATTTGTAAACTTATAAGTTTACAGTATTAATAAATCAACATAACAACCTGCTTCAATGAAGTCAATGAAGACCCTATCTCAGATTTAATTTTTGGACTTTTTATAACATCCCTTGGCAATCTTTTTCAAAATATACCATTTCAATGAAAACATAATTTCACATTAAGGAACACAAATCCTAATTCAAGAGAAATAAATAAATAAAGCTTCAGTAGCTAATTACAGTTGTTCTTTTAATTTTGGTTTTACCTCATAAAATTTCTTCATTGAGTAAATTTAAGATTTATTTTCACATTTCTAAAAACTATGTCTTTAGTGAATAACAGTCTCACTTCAGTCTATCTCTGTGCTTTCAGAATTCTAATACCTTGTTCATTTTAAATATTTTTCATTATCCATATCACATTATATTTTATCCTTGCTATTTCTGTTGATTTTTGGCTTATTTGATTATGACAGAGCATGTGACAGGTATCTGCTTAAGGAGAGTTATGCTTTCATGGAGGATCGCTTAAGAGACAGACCTTTCACCACATTACATAAGGGGAAAACCACAGAAACAGACATGCTGCCAGTCCATTGGCTGGGATTCAAACCTGGATCAAACTAGCTTTGTTCAGTGACTACATACTTATTCAGCAACTATGTACTTCAATACTTTGTTCACGTGCCCTTGGTGATTGATCTTTTCATTAATTTCCCTATTTATCTTACTATTTGGTCCATTTTGACTGCAAAACTCTCTTTAATCTCTTAAATAAGAATGTTGCTCTCAAAACCTTATTAAAAATATATAATAGCCTAAGTTTCTCCTTTTCATTTCACATTGGTATCTTTGCACTTTTCACAAATATATTCTTTAATTTATATAATCTCTATGACTGGATAATGTTTAGCAAATTGCACAATGAATAAATTTATCAAGGATCCATTTCTTATCCTAATTAAACAATAGCTAATTTTCTGAACTAGAAGCATGAAAGCAAACAGTAATTATACTTAAATTGTAAACTTCATCAGTCAAAGAAATCTACATCAAAATTACAATAATAGAAAAACATGATAGGGATACATGATTGAATACATTTCTTAATTATAAGATAAAATGAATACAGGGTGTTTACAAATAAATGGGGCAGTTTTAAAAATTAATTATACATTGATGTTATTATCTTACCCGTGTAAAACCTATACCGTAAGCATTGGCAACTGTCCAAGTTTCTCATGTGCTACCTGCTGTTTGCTTATCATGCTTACTGGGCAGCCACAGCGTCAGTTTCCGAGATGGCATCGCAACAGAAAAAGGCTCTCAATTCCAGGCATACTAGAAACCTAGTTGTTACCCTAGCAGAACACCAATTATAATGATTACATTTTTGTAACTGGACAATGCTCTGTGCCATACTCACAGAAATGAATGAGAGCTTCTTGTGTTCTCCACCAACACTGGATTAGATGTGCTACAACAGCAGAAAACAATTTTCCCTAGCCACCCCATTTGAAGGATTTAATACCATGCAATTTCTTTCTTTGGGGATTTGTTAAAGACAGTTTATGTATTGCAAATGCTTGTGTCCTAAGAGGAAGCTTGTGGTCCAATAAAACATGCACTGCAGATCCTCACGTAAATGCTTCAATGAATAAGATTTCAAGAACTAAAATCTATTATGGCTAATCTTTACTGTACAATAACCCTTGGTTTTTGTCTGAAAACAATGGTTAAGAAGAATTGGTTGTTTGTGAAATCTGGAAGCCCACTGCACCTTTTTGTAATAGTAACCCTTTTGTATGGAACTGGATTTTTGGTTCTTACTATTCTTTTCAGTTGCTATGTTTGCTTGCACATACGTGGTATGGTCATGGATTTTGAACTTGCTATTATTTTGCTGTGGGTACCATCAATTGAGTATGTCCGAGGTGAGTAAGAGGATAAGTGTTGATTAATAGCGGATGAGCCTAAACGATGAAAAATTTAATTGAATTGCTTACCTGGAGGATGGAGGAGAAGCAAATGAAAAGATATGTTAAAAAAAATGACATTTCATTTATTTGTCTCTGTGCATTAATTTTTGTTAAAAGGTTTGTTGTTTAAAGTTTTTATGTTAGGAAATATGTATTTTTGGTTATTTATTCCTCTCTGTGTATTTTTGGTTATTTGTTCGTCTTTGTGTTAAGACAGCAATGAATTTTTTTCTGGTTACCATGATAGTTTTAACTTTGCTTTAGCTTCCTGATTTTGTTTAAGTGAAAATAGACCGATGTTTAGAAAGTTAAGGTAGTGCACAATGCCTAGTTTGTGAAATTCTCTGATTTGTTTTAAGTGAAAATAGGTCGATGTGTACATGGACACCGAGTTTGTGTAGGTCTTTAACTTCTTATTTTGGTTTTGTGTTGTGACCATCTTGTGCCCCGATCCTTGCTGGTGCTGATCTTGGTGTAAAAAAAAAAGAAACAATTCACCAAGGGTACTGTAGAGCAAATTTTTACCCCTATGATTAATTATTTATATTAAATTTTATATGATTAATTACATTAAACCTATTATTAACCTATTATAATCCAAATAAAGCAAACTTCTTTTGGAACTATTACTTTTTCATTTCTCTGCAGGGTATTTTTTTAATATATCATATTCCTCCTCTTGTTTACTTCCAGTTAAGATATTACTGCTCTCTTCTCTATTTCCTCGATTGTATTCGTCATAAGATGTAGAAAAGTTACAAATGTGATTAAGAACAAACAGTCTTACAGATGACACCTATTGCTACCTGTAATTCATAATAAGAATGTGCTTTTGAAGAGCAGCTCTAGCCAGAATTAAAATCATCCTAACCCAGTCACATTTGTAAAATTATTCATTTACACATCTACATGCTATCACTATCTACAATATCAGTATGACTGAAAGAATTTAAATCATATATTATAAAACAAACCCAAAATGCAGCAAGCATAAAAATGAAGCTAGTTTAATTATACAGAAAATATATAAATTAATTACAGACAGTGCTATGAATTTAATGTAGATATAGTAATACAATTGGAAATACATTCAAAAATCAGTTTCTTCTATCTCTTTTGTTATAGAGTAAGGAAACATGTTAACCCTGCAGAGTACTCAGAATTAACCCCACCTCCCATCATCTTAATGCATGGTTCCTTTGTTTTCTGAACTTAATGAATGCTGCCAATTATCCTTTTGTAATCATTCAGAGTTATGAATAAATCTCATGCTCTTTTGTGCAGCATCAAAGTTTCCACTGTTGTTGCTATTCTATCAAGTTTTAATTCTGTTAATAATTCCCACTATAACTCGCTCAAGAGTTAAAACAGGGATGCTATATAATAAAGAACTGAAATGAGAGAATTTTTACACTTCAGTTGAGCTGGCAAATGCCTTCTTATAGTAGAAGAATTCCCGCAGTAGTTTATCAAAACGGCCTGTAAGAAGTAACTGCCAAAGTTTCTGGCCATTTACTTTTTGCAAAATTTTAGTAGTTCCTCATCAAAATGGCCACTGTGTTTATCGGCAAATTTAATCACCTAATTTACAATATACAAATTTCAGATATCACTAAAGCTTTATAAGATGCTCACTTTAACAAAGTAATGGTGTTTCTTTCAACAGAAAATTAATAAGCATGTATAATTCAGATGTTTGGAAAAGAATTTGGAGGTCAGCCATTATGAAAGAGTTAATTATCCATTTACAAAAATTGATAAAAATATATTCCAGGGTATTCCTTGGCAAAAATTGGCTACTTTTTGGCACCATTCCTGTTTACGTCCAACAGCCTCCTCAGTAAAATAGCATCCAAAACATAATTAAAACATAAAAATATATATTCTCAATAAACTGCATTTTAAATCAAATAAGGAAATAACATAAGAATGCAAATGCATGTCATCTAATCTATGCAGTACAAAAAGGAAATATCAACTTATTTAAAAATTTCTGTTTTTTTTTTTATATGTGTGACACACACAATTCTTTAACACCATCCAAAAACTATTTAACATAATCTAAACTAGAATCTGTAAACTGCCATCACCACATAAATTCGCAAAAGTAAAAACAAAAAATATCCTCCATACTGCCAGTAGCATTTCTTTTGAAAATCCCTTTTTATTACACCCCATACACCTTCCACAGTACTGATATGAGCTCCGGTTTCCAAATCCTTAAATCTCACTGCATAATTTACCGAGAGGTGAACAAAGCCATTTAAATCTCCATTTACACAACTGTGGATCAATGTTTTCTTTCCCAATCGTTCCAAAGTGTATAGAAATTTCAAGTTAATCATACCACCAGCAGGCATTTTATGCTGTAAAGCACAAAATAAGCAACATACTTCCTAACCAACATCCAATACTTATATAAGCCCTTACAAATATTTTCCCATCAGTCAAAATCACTGTAATCACGCATTACAACCAATCACGTCATAACACGGTTTCCATAACATTCACCTCCTCAGATTATCATAAATTAAACGACTTGGCGATAATCCGAGGGATACCCTAAAACAGGATTTCTTAAACTGGGGGTTGCCAAACATTTTAGCAGTTTTGATATTTCATTACCTTATTATATAAATTTTACAATTACCAAATATTTTTACACAATGTATCTGAAAATAGATAAAGATAAGACAATACAGACAAAGAAAAAAAAGGAAATGTTCATGTAAACTTCAGAACTTTTCAGTATCTACGAGGAATACTCTATTCTTACATTTTAAAACAACCTTATTGGGTGTTCGATTTGAGAGTTTAACCATGCCGTAAGTAAATGGATTGAAGAGACAATAAAAAGTTCTTCAAGGAATGCTTAAAAAATTAGTTTTCCATTGGAATATGTACATATTTATTTAAATGAAAATATATTGATGTGTATATAAGTACACATCAATATATTTTCATTTAAATAAAATCGGGAAGCTAAAACAAATTTAAAACTATCATGGTAATCAGAAGTGAGGTTTCATTGCCAAAATTTTTAAAAAATTGTCGCTAACCAAAGGGGCACCCAATTCTACACTAGAGAAAAAAAAAAAAAAAACTTGTAAATTCAGAGTCATAATATAAGTGCTTACTAAATAGCAGCCACAGATACACAGCTCACGGACAGTCATAGCATTGTTTCAAAAAAAACATAAACTTTTTTTTTTTTTTTTTTTTTTGTTTTTTTTTTTTTTTTTTTTTTTTTTTTTTTTTTTTTTTTTTTTTTTTTTTTTTTGGGTTATGAAGTGTAGACTCTATCCAAATAGCCCCTCGTGTGTGTAGTTGTATTCCAAAAGTAATACTATTTAGCAAAAAATGAAAAACTATAAAAATCAAAATATATCTGGAAATCATTTCCAACTTACCATACTTTATGAGATTAATTCTGGGAAAAAAGTTTTGCTGGTGAAAAAATAAGCAAAAAAAAGTACAATTACTTAAGAGCGATATTTTATAATAAAAAACAGCCCTTTTGATTTTTTATTTTAAATTTATGCACAATGACTTCCTCCTGGAAGTACCAAACGAAAGTTAGCCGCAAATATAATAATTTGCTATAATGTCTTTTGAGAAACATTTTTTTTTAGTTTAGACTTAGTGAATGCAAAACAAGAGTTTCTTATTTACTCTTGTATGTCTACGAAAAATAGTTTCTTTTTTCCTTTGTTTGTTTTTTAATTGTTCCTTATTAATTTTTTAAAAAACAACAAGTATCTTGTATGTCTGTCAAAATCATTTGTTCGTGGGAAAATGGTTCCTTACACCGGGGAAATGGTGTATACACCTAGGTACCTGGGCCGAAGTCCCTACCCCTATCGAACAAAATAAAAAAATTACTAATTACGTGAGCATTAACACAAAGAAAATTTCAAATTAAAAAAAAAAAAAAAAAAAAAAAAAAAAAGAGCTTTATGAAGAGATATAAGTAACAAGTTGCATAATAAATTTTGTCACAAATAATTTTAAGGTAAGTCGTTAAATTATAATAAAAAGTTAATAAAGTTAAGCAAGATATTAACATTAAATTATTAATAATATGGGATAAGAATTTAAAAGGTGTAGTGAAACAGAGTCGGCTAATGGGGAAAGTATCTGGTGCAAACTTTTCGAGCCGGTGACAAATATCCTGGAAGGGAGACATACAACTGGAAGAATAAACAAGAAGTATGTGTAACTCCTTGGGCGAAAAATTTTAAAGGGGAAAAGAATAAAAAGTCAGGTAAATAATGTATAAGTTTGAGCAATTTGAAATATTAAATCGTCACTTGTCCTATCAAACAAAATACAAAATATGATAACAAGATACAAAATATGTGCATGTAAAAAGAATAAGGAATAGTAAAAGATTAAATTAGCAGCGTAAATTAATTTCTTTTCTCTATTCTAAAAATAGCAA